GGCCTATTGTCACAACTGATTTCTTTGGGGATGCCGAAGCGACATATGATATTTCTATATATGAATGTAATCACTTGCTCGCATATTTAGGCGAATGCACCTGCTTCTATCCACTTAGAAAAATAGTCAGTTAAAACTAAATGAAATCGTACATTACCTCGTCCCGCTGGGAGGGGTCCAACGATGTCTATTCCATATTTGATGAAAGGAAAGGCGAGGTGACTGAGTGGAGGTGCTCGCCCGTTTGGTGAATCATGGGGGCATATTTTTGGCATTTCTCGCATTTTCTTACGAAGTCGGCGGCCTCCTTTTTCCTCGTGGGCCAATAGTAGTCCACTCGTATGAGGCATCTGATGAGAGCTCGATTGCCGGTATGAGCTCCGCACGCACTTTGCTAGCCGCCAAATGTTCTTTTCTACAAGTCTTTATTGATGACGTTGTACCTGGATGCCTGCATTCGAAGCTTCTTGGCTTCTTTTTTATCGGGTGGGAGCTCCCCGTCGTGAAAATATGAGATAATACGATTGCGCCAGTCTCGAGTCAAGTTTATAGTTCGTACCTCGATTTGATCAAATCGATAAATGGAGGAGGGTGATCACGTTCCCTTCTCCGGTTATGCTTTTGGTGGCCGCTGCCAGTTTGGCGAGGCAGTCTTTAAGCACGTAATTTTTGACTTGTACATTAGAATTATCTTTAATAGTCTTAGTATATTTATTTAAATTATTTCTATAGGATTTCACTTTATTATTAATTTTAATTCTAGTCTTAAAGCACAAAAATTTAAAAAATACAAAAATAGTTTCATATAGTTTGCCTTAATTAATTGGAATTGATTTTATATTTAATAGTATATATTAAAATTATTGTGTTTCTTAATTTGTGGACTTTAAGAGTTGAAATTCCCAATTTTTGAGCACAAATTGGGCCACCAAAGGCCCAAATCGAGACCAACTCGCTCAAGCTCATACACACTCCCCATTTGACCTAACCTAATTCCTACTCCCTAAAAAGACATCAGCTATCTCTCTTGAACGGGACTGGAGAACGGGCGACCGTTCCTTTAGAGAAAAAGGATCTGATCTTTCTCTTGCCTTCATTGCTGGAAAACCAACACTGGTAATGCCTCTTACCTCTACCATCTCTCACCCATCGCCCTCACTTGGAAGAAACATCACTCAAACACACACAAAGACACAACGAGACAACCTTTCATCTCCAGTTATCATGGCTGTTGCCGATGGAGGTGATGACCGGCGACGGCTATAGCTCATGTCGCTGCGATGCCACTGCTGCTCCCTCATCTCCGCCTCTGTCGTCTCCCGCCAGCCGACTAACTCCTCCATTCTAGAACAAAACAGCCGCCCACCACCTAAAAGGAATTCGCACACACACATATACAGAGATACACGCTCACGCAAAGGGCAACTGAGTGAGAGGGGGCAGCGACGATCTTCAGTCCAAAAAAACGAGAGAAATAGGGTCCTAAAAAAGCAGAACCATAAAACCCCATAAAAATCAGTTCCAAAACCCCTATGATTTTGCATCTTTAATGCTAAAAACCAGCCAGAGTTTAGTTTTTGTCTTTTTAGTTTAGTTTGATATTTTCGGCAAGCTTCGAGGTCGTCGGTGGTTGTTGTTCAGGGGATCCATTTCAGTCGTGCGTCAGGGTACTGTCTGTTGGTTTTCGGTTCGAGTTTCGTCCGGGGTTCTATCGTTTTGAGGTCATTTTCTTCCTTCCTTCTGTTATTTTTTGCTTAATATTATGCTTTTATTGTTTTATTAGTTTGTTGTTGCTGTGTTTTACTGAATGTTAACGTTTCATTACTCTATTTCGATGACTTCTTACTATTTATTTGCTCCATTTGTTCTTGTTAATTGGTTAGCCCCTATTCGGATGAAACTAATGGTCAGATGAGTTAAATTGCCTATTTTAATTATTCATTAAGAGATAGATGTTTAAGGCATTTTGATTAACATTTTGGTGACTCCAGAGTTAAATTAATTTATTAATTGAATTGGATGATGATTTAGATACTAAAACAAGTATTTGGCCGTGGGATTGGATTGAAAGTTAAAAGTTAATTGAAATATTTCTATTACTCTTTTAATTAATTGAACCGCTAGGAGCATGTTTAGGCCAATGACTCGGGTAGGCAATCTTTAAGATTTTCGACGTTCGCATGATATAATTACGGGTTTCAAATTAAGACCAAAGTATCCGTTCGCGCAACATTGGGTGACTTAATAATAATAAAATGTTATTAATTGTGTATACGTTCGCGTGACACGAGTACGATTTAAAAATGAATATTCGTAGAAAATGCTTTAGGCGCGACTTAATCTATCATCGTGATTGTGTACACGTTCGCGTGACATAATTATGATTTTCAAAATAAATCAAGGTACACGTTCGCATGACTTTGGCCAAACAATCGTAATAATAATAAAGTGTTATTAGTTGTGTACACGTACGTGTGACATGACTTCGACACGCCAAACAAACGAGTACACATACGCGTGACTCGTTTCAAAATAATTTCATAATTACGAATAATCAAGCAATCTAAAAGCAGTAAAAGGTAAAATGCACATAGGATCTAAAATACGTAATTAAAATAATTTAATTAAGCCAGGTATGATTAAAGCGACCATGCTACACTTTCTCCCGGATTAACAAAATTCCTTACCCGGTCTTTTGGTTTTCTCAAATCATAAATAGAATCAATTTCCTCGATTTGGGGTTTAAAATAAACCGGTGACTTGGGACACCATAAAATTATCCCATGTGGAGACTCTGATTAAATAAATAATCCTATTTCGATTATTGTCCCTTTAATTGGAAAAACTCCATATGCCCCTCGAGAAAAAGGAGGTTTAACATCGTCCGCTTCGATGTTCTGCCCTTGGGATATTTGATCGATCTGACATTCGTCGAACTCAGGTAACAGTTTGCAAATTTCGGCCTTGTATTTCTGTAGTTGTTGCTCTTTAATTTGGAAAGTCCCTGTAACGTGGTTAACGATGAGTTGCGAGTCGCATCGCAGGACACTTATTGTGCTCCGTACTTGAGTGCCAGTTTTAACCCTGCAATCATGGCCTCATACTCGGCCTTATTGTTAGTCCTATCAGGGCACCGTATGGACTAGCAAACTATTTCGCCTATTGGGACCTCGAGCACGAGTCCTAGTTTAGATCCTGATGCGTTAGAAGTACCATCAGTGTACAGACCCAATGGTTGTGCATTTTGACGGAAGTAGTGGTGGTATCCCTTTCTACTTCGGGCATTATCTTCGTACTTAAATCGGCGACGAAGTCGGCAAGAACTTGCGACTTTATCACCATTTGCGGATGATAGGTTATATCGTGCTCGCTTAGCTCTATGAACCACTTGGCCAATTTGCCTGATAGTTCGAGTTTGTGCAGGATACTCCTTAGAGGAAAAGTCGTGACCACCAAGATGGGGTAGCACTGGAAATAAGGTCTAAGCTTTCATGAAGCTACGACCAAGGCCAAATCTAGCTTCTCGAGGTAGGGGTACCTCGTTTCAGCGTCGGTCAAGGTTTTGCTAATGTAGTAGATTGGAGTCTGCATACCTTTATTTTCTCGTACCAGGACTGCACTTACTGTGACAATGGACACGACCAGGTAGACAAGGAGACGCTCTTCAGGTTCTACCTTAGTGAGCAATGGGGGCGAAGACAGGTAGGCCTTTAGTTCTTTTAAGGCGTCGACGCACTCGAAATTCTATTGGAGTCCGTTATCCTTTTTGAGTATGCTGAAAAATTTGTGGCACCTACCGGAGGACCGTGAGATGAATCTCGACAGGGCGGTTATCCGGTCGGTTAGCTTTTGCACTTGTTTCTTGCTAGTTAAATTTTCTGGGATTCCTTCTATGGACTTGATTTAGTCGGGGTTGACCTCGACGCCTCGTTGCGATACCAAGAAGCCGAGGAACTTCCAAAGGTTATACTAAAGGCGTATTTTTCGGGGTTCAATTTCATGTCGTACCTTCTGAGTATGTCGAAGGCTTCCCTGAAGTGGTCGATATGGTCTCCTTTCCTTTTTGACTTAACCAACATGTCATCTATATATACTTCCATGGTCTTGCCGAGTTGATCTTTGAACATTTTGGTCATTAGCCTCTGATATGTTGCCCCTATGTCTTTCAATCCGAACGACATCACCTTGTAGCAGTATGTCCCCTGATGGGTGATGAAAGTGGTTTTTTCTTGGTCCTCATCCTCCATGAGGATTTGGCTGTAGCCTGAGTAGGCGTCTAAGAAGATTAGCAGTTCATGCCTATAGAGTCGATGAGTTTGTCGATATGGGGCAGCCAAAATGAGTCTTTTAGGCAGGCTTTGTTCAGATCCGTGAAGTCTACGTACATCCGCCACTTTCCGTTCTTCTTTTTCACCATGACCAAGTTGGTGACCCATTGAGGGTACTTCAATTCTCTAATAGAACCATTTTCTAATAATTTTTCAACCTCTTCGCGAACCGTGTCATTTATTGCGGAGTTGAACTTTCGTCTAATTTGCCTCATTGGAGGGGTCTACATTCAACTTGTGAGTTTCTATCTCCTTCGGGATACCTAGCATGTCTGCATTGGAAAAAGCAAACAGGTCTACGTTACTTTTTAAGAATTGGTGAAATTTTCCTGGATCTTGGAGCTTATGGCCGATGAAAGCTTTCTTGTTGTGGTTGTTATCGTCTAGTTGGATAGGGTTGAGGTCCTCTACGGTTGACCTTGTGGCTTCTACGATTTTGGGCTCTCGGACGACGTCTTTCCCCACATCGCCATCTGACCCCGACTTCGTTAATTGTTATGCCTCTTCGGCCTTTCCTTTTAGTTGTTGGGTGTATGTGCAGTCTTAGGCGATGCGGTAGCATTCTCGAGCCGTGCATTTCTCTCCTAGGATGCTTAATACTCCCTAGGGGGTAGGAAATTTGATGACTTGGTATAAGCTGGAGGGGTAGGCTTTCATGGCGTGTATCCAAGGTCAGCCTATGATGGCATTGTACACCGTATCCTGGTCCATGATGTGGAATGTGGTGTCCAAAGTGACGCCGCCAGCCAGGACAGGCAGCGTGATTTCTCCATATGCCAGCTCAACTGCATTGTTAAAGCCTGTTAGTGTGATGCAACGCGACACTATCTTGTCCTCGAGCTTCATTTGGGTGAGAACTCGAGGGTGGATGATGAATGCACCACTCCCATTATCGACCATAACACATTTTATTTCAGTATCAAGGACACGTAAAGTAATTACAAGAGTGTCATAGTAAGGAAGGACTAAACCGTGGGTTTCTGACTTATCGATGATGATACTTTCTTCGAGTTTGTCATACCGTTTGTGGGTGATGTACCGTTTGAGTTTGTGGGTGGTGGTGAACTTCATGTTGTTGATAGATGCATCGTCGCCTCCTCCGATGATCATTTGAATGGTCCGAGATGGGGAAGGTGGTTTGGGCGGTCCCTGATGTTGTTCTTGCCCTCGGGTGAAGTTAGCCCTCCCACGATCGCTCATCAGTTCTTTCAAGTGCCCTTGATGAAGCATGTTCACGAACTCCTATCATAGGAAAATACAATCATCGGTTTTATGACCCCGCTCCTAGTGGAATTCACAGAGGACATTTGACTTTCTAATGCTCGGGTCGGATCTCATCTTTTGTGGACATTTCACTTTTGGGCCGAGCTTATCCAGTGCGTAGATTATTTCTGAGGGGGAAACACAAAAATTGTGAGCAGATAATAAAGGGGGCATACCTCTCTCATTTTGGTGGATTCCCGTTTCCGGCCTGGATAGACCTTCATCGTGGCGTGGAGGTGGCATGAGGGTGCCTCTAACGTAAGGATTATGTCTCTCTCAATTAGGTCGGGATCCCGAAAGATCTCTCCTGTTATCATTTCTCCGGTCTTTCCTATACTCCATTTGGACCGAGGTCAAATGTTGTGTAGGTCCGTTGAGATCGTCCTCGTCGGCTCTTACCTCAGCACAGTAGGCGTTGTGTATCTTGTCCCAAGTGGTTGAAGGGTATTTCATGAGTTGGCTTAGCAACTTTTTGGTCACCCTCGGCCCACTTCTACTTAGCCTATTCTGGAAAGCGGCTATCACCATCCCCTCAAATACATTTGGAAGGGTCATTATTATACGGTTGAACCAGGTGAGGAAGTCCCTGAGTCCTTCGCCAGGTGATTGCTTGATGGCGAATGTCGTTCACCCTCGCCTATGCTTTCTTAGCCCCGACGTGGGTGGTGATGAACTTGTCTGCCATTTCCTTGAACGTTTCTATAGAACGCGCAGGTAACTGTGAGTACCAAGTCAGTGCTCCCCCGGTTAGGGTTTCTCCAAACTTCTTCAGCAATATGGATGATATTTGTTCTTTTACGAGGTCATTTCCTTTTACTGCAGTGACATAGAGGGTCACATGATCCTCCGGGTCCATCGTGCGGTCGTATATTTTTAAGTACGACGGCATTTTGAAAGTCTTTGGTATGATGTATGGTGCAGCCTCATCGCTATATGGTTGCACAACAAACTGACCGACGTCTCTTTTTGGCAGAAGTTTTGGGGCATCCGGTATTTTGTCTACCCTTTTTTGGTGCTCTTTCATTTGGCTACGGAGCATTTTGTTCTCATTCTCCATCTCCTCCATTTTCCTCAAAATGGATTTGAGGGTGTCATTACTTGCATCACTAACATTGAAGGTAATACCTGTTGTGGGAGGGGGCGTGCTGCTCGTCAGCTGCTGATGCGACGCCGACTCTTGTCTCTTCTCTACTCGACCTCCTAGCGGGTTTGTCGAGGAAGATGGTTAGCGTGTTTGTCAACCATGTTTCAAGTAGATTTTTCACTACTGGTGGTTCCTCTTCTGTCGTGGATGCAGAGGCACTCTTACCGTGCGAGGTCGTAATGCTACCGAGAGGTGAAGGCGAGCTGTTTTGCCTGGGAGAGGTGTTTTGTGTTATGTCTTCGCCCTCCATTTCGTCCACTTCGTTAATGGTGTGGAGGAGGTTGGTAGTGAGGTCGGCTATCGCCTTCCTCTTTTCCTCTCTGTTGCCTGCCATGTCAGATTTGTGCAAACAAGGAAATTAGAGATTTTGCAAAGTTTTGTGTGTTTTTTTGGATCTAGAAGAAACTAAAATTTTAATTAGAAAATTTCCCACAGAGGGCACCAAATTATTTGACCAAAAAGTATTAAGCCTTTTTGTTAAACTAATTAAATAAGATGGTAATGGATAAATCCTAGTTAAACATAATAAATCCTAGATCTGAAATCGGTTGATATGAACAATGTATAATATTATAATTGCACTTAAACCAATTTAATAAAAATGGATATTAAATGATATTGTTACAAATGCGTGGGGGAGTAATGACAAGCAATAAATATATTAAATGTCAATAAATGTAAATCGAGAGAATGATTCACCCAAATATTTAATGAGGTGGATGATTCTCCCTCTGACAATGATGCAAGACAAACAAATGTGGAAAATAGAAAGCTTTCTGGGATCTGATGCGAGAAAGTGTAAGATCAACAATAAACTGAATCTTTTTGTAAAGACAATGTTTGTAATCTTTTTCCGAGTCAACGTTTCATGAGAGAACTTATCGTATAGAATATTACATGCCCTTTATTCTCTCTCCATTCCCACTTATATGGGACATATCCTTTACCTAACTGAAAGTACAAGTGCATAGAATATTATATAAAATATTCCTATAAAATATCTTATTACTAAACTAGCCGTTTGGGCTGATTAGAGTACTCGACCTCGACCCTAGCTACTCAGCTCGCCAATAGGTTTCTTCTTAAGCACGACCTCAGCCTAATCAGTTCTTAGTTATCCTTTCTTAGGCAAGATTACCTTGGTAAGATTTTGACCCATACACTATTCATCCACCTAATGGGTCGTTCAGATACTTTATGGTCTTAATAGATGCATTTGTAGATAGTCTCATGTGTGCCTATTGTCATCTCGCAACCTAGCGTTTGCAAAATTAATGGCACAAATAATCTAATTACGGGCACAATTACCTGACAATCCAATTAAGTCTATTAGACTCGATAATGCTGCTGAGTTTTCATCCCGAGTATTTAATGATTATTGCTTATCAATTAGGATAACAGTAGAACATCTTGTAGCTCATGTTCACACTCAAAATGGTCTTGCAGAGTCTTTAATTAAATTTCTGCAATTGATAGCAAGACCATTACGCATGAAAACGAGATTACCCACTTTTGTTTGGGGTCATGCCATTTTGCATGCAGCAATGCTGGTTCGTCTGAGACCGACAAATTATCATAAATATTCTCCGTTGCAATTAGTTTTGAGTCATGGACCTAATATATCTCATTTAAGAATATTTGGATGCGCAGTATATGTGCCAGTAGCACAACCATATCGCACCAAGATGGTTCCTCAAAGAAGGTTAGGAATATATGTTGGATTTGAATTACCCTCTATTATTGGCTACCTCAAAATATTAATGGGGGATTTGTTCACTGCTCGATTTGTAGAATGTCGATTCGATGAGACACTTTTCCCAAAATTAGGGGGAGAAATTGGTGAAACCAAATGAGAAATTACGTGAAAAATCCATCATTGTCTCATCTTGTTCCACGTGCCTTTATTTATGAAAAAGAGGTGCTAAATATTATCCTTTTTTAGAAAATAGCAAATCAAATGGCAAGTGCATTTACGGATCTGAAAAGGATAAAAAATCACATATCCCTATAGTGAATGTTCCAATCCGTGTTGATATTCCCGTTGGACAATCTTCTAGTATCATAGCTAATGAGTCAAAAGCACGCCTAAAACGTGAAAAACTATTGAGTTCTAAGGATCGAAATCCTAGAAAAAGGAAAACAAATGATCAAGATGACACTACGAAAGAGAATCATGAAGAAATCCACGATTGAACCAATCCTGAGATTCATGAAGAAATCACTGAGCTTAAGACTCAAGAAAATAAGGAACTATCAACAAATCCAATCGATATTGAGACAGATTTTAATCGACTGGATATAGTGTTGGATTATGTCCTTGCATATAATATTGCATCTAGCATTATGCAAGATAGTGAGGATCTTGAACCTCAATTTGTTGAAGAATATTCACAAAGACGTGATTGGCCAAAATGGCAAGAAGCAATCCAATCCGAGTTGGATTCACTTGCGAAACGTGAAGTTTTTGGGCATGTAGTCCAAACACCTAATGGTGTTAAGTGTGTTGGCTATAAAAGGGTCTTTGTACGTAAAAGCAATGATAAAAATGAGGTGCAAAGATATAAGGCACGCCTTGTTGCACAAAGATTTTCACAAAGGCCTTAGGTCGATTATAAAGAGACATAATCACCTGTTATGGATGCAATAACATTTCATTATCTCATTAGCTTTGTTGTCCATGAAAAGCTTGACATGCATTTAATGGATGTGGTTACACCCTACCTTTATGGCTCACTTGATAATGAGATATACATGAAAATTCTTGAAGGATTTAAAATGCCCGATCACATAATTCAAAGTCTCAAAAAATATTTTCAATCAAATTGCAAAGATCTTTGTATGGTCTAAAGCAATCAAAATGAATATGGTATAATTGCCCATGCGTTTTTATAAAGAAAAAAATATCGCAATTTGTTGTACTTGCCATATATGTTGATGACATAGACCTTATTGGAACTCCTATAGAACTCCAAAAGACAATTGATTATTTAGAGAGGAAATTCTAGATGAAAGATCTCGGAAATATAAAATTATGTCTCGGTTTGCAAATTGAACATTTGGCAAATGAGATTTTTGTTCATCAATCTGCCTATATAGAAAAGGTATTTAAATGGTTTTACATGGATGGAGCACATCCATTAAGTACTCCGATGGTTGTTCAATCACTTGATATGTATAAGGATCCGTTCCGACCTTAAGAAAATAATGAAGAGCTACTTGATCCTGAAGTACCATATCTTAGTGCAATTGGTGCACTAATGTATCTTGCTAATACTACAAGGGCCCGACATAACTTTTTCAATTAATATCTTAGTAAGATATAGCTCTGCTCCTACAAGGAGACCTTGGAATAGAATCAAACATATATTGTGGTATCTAAAAAGGACTAGCGTTATGAGTTTATTTTATGGCAATGATTGCAGTTCCGATCTTGTTGGTTATGCCGATGCTGGGTATTAATTCGACTCTCACAAGGCTCGATCTCAAACAGGCTATGTGTTTACATATGGAAGTACTGTCATATCTTGGCGATCGACTAAGCAATCAATCGTAGCTACTTCATCTAATCATGCTGAGATAATTGCTATTCATGAAGCAAGTCGAGAATGTGTGTGGTTGAGGTCTATAATACATCTTATTTGAGAAAAATATGGTTTGAAGTATGACAAATTACCCACAATTTTGTATGAAGACAATGCAACATGCATAACCCAATTGAAGGAAGGATTCATAAAACGAGATAGGACAAAATACATTTTACCAAAGTTATTTTTTACTCATGATCTTCAAAAGAATAGTGATATCAATGTGCAACAAATTCGTTCAAGTGATAATATGGCTGCTTTGTTCACCAAATCTCTACCGATGTCAACCTTCAAGAAGCTAGTGTACAAGATCGGAATGCGAAGGCTTAAAGACGTGAATTGATGCTCTCATCAGGGGGAATTAATATGTGTTGTACTCTTTTTCCCTTATAAGGTTTTGTCCCACTGGATTTTCCTTGAAAGGTTTTTAACGAGGCAACCAAAAGACGTATTTTTAAATATGTGCATTATTTTTCCTTCACTAGAATTTTTTCCACTGGGTTTTATTTTAGTTAAGGTGTTAACGAGGCACATTATTTGTTGAATAGACATTTTAGGGAGAGTGTTATAAATAGAATTTTATTTAAGGTGAATGTCTAAGGTTTGTTACTTTGTGGCCAAGTCACTTTTTTCTATAAATAGAGGAATTATATTCCGTTACAATTCATCTCAAATCAATAGAATTCCCTCTCCATTTTCTTTACAATATTCTTCTATTCTTTTATTTCAAATTTCTATATTTCTTAATCTATATGCCAATGCTTATTTGCTTTGTAAAACTTCTGGAGATATGAATAAGTGAAAACTACCTAGTTTAACTTTTTATA